CTTTGCATGATCAAGTGGAAATATCTGAGCTAACAATTCAGAGTACTCTTGAGCTTGAGACAATACAAAAATCATTGGAAAAAACAACAGTAAGCCAAGAAAAAATTAAGCAAGACACAGAGGGTGATATGACCTTACCTATGCCACAAGACAGCTCCATTTTAGCAATGCGTACACCTCGACAATCTTCTGTGGTCCACAGCACTGTGCCACAAAGCCATGCTGAGCCTGATCTGAAGATTTATGTTGCTAAATCTAAAAGTCCTCCTGAATATCCAGATAAACGCCAGTCTGATGTTAATGTTGCAATGTCTGGTGGATCTAGACATGCCACACCCGTGGATAAATCTGACAGTCCTCTGAGTAAAGAAGTAAAAATTTCTGATCATTCAGTTTTTGCTGTAGAAAAAGAACAGATTCTAGAAGGTCAGACAAACCCAATACAAGAGAGTCTACAGACTGAGTACTCATCTGACACTGTGACAGATGTTCATTCTGCATTCACAGACCTAAATGCTTCTTCAGACCTTCAACATCAAGACAAATCTTTAAAGACAGATGAGCAACCTGAAGGTAACTTCAACTTCAGTGGAAACAAAAGAAAACTAGATTTGAGTCGTAGAAATAATGGAAGACAGAATATCAAAGAATTAAGTGAATATTCTGAACATGATGATCTCCTGTCTGTTTCCCATGACACCTCCAAGTTTTTATTGCCTTCACCTGATCATTCTTCCAGGTTTCAGAGCTCTGTTGCAACAAAATTTTCTGAATCCAAAACACAGACTTTAATTTTTTGTAGTCAAGATCCTAAAGAGGATAGAACTGAAAGAGATCCCAACATTAATGATGAAACAGCTCATGGGTCAGTGAGCGCCATGCATCAATTTATAGATCAGTTTGTTGCTTTTCACAGCAATGATATTTTAGATGATGCTCCTTGGGAAATACAGAATGTAGAAAGTTATCCAACACAAATGCCTGAAAGTTTTCAAATTGATTATTCATCTAATGATTTTGCAGGTGACTCCACAAAAAATTATGAATTTATTTCTGAAAATGTTATTGACCATACCAAAATATCTGAACAAAAAGAGTTTCCTACAAAAGAAAACAAGGGTTATGATTCATATAATACCAATAAACCTCAACTCATTCACTTAGAAGAGGTTGATTCTACTTCACTACAAGTCCACAAGTTCAAAGACAGAGTAGAAGATGACATAAAACTCAGATCTGAACAAATATTTCAGGAGAAGGCTGGGTTCTCCTCTACAATGGAGGAGAACAAACACAATTTTCCACTCCTTCAGTCAAAATCTGTTTCTTTTAACTCACAGCCTGAAAATGATTCTTTGACTGTGCATGAACAAACCAACATGGATTTTCACAACAGTGGCAGCAGACGAAAACTGGGGTCAAGCCGTAGAAACAAAGGAAGACAAACATTCAAAGATTCTGTTACAGAAACATATGATAAATTCATACAAGAAGATGAAGAGAAAGCAAGTGACAACAAACTTAGTGCTACAATGTTAACAGTAGAGTCAACAGGCCAGAAAGAAGAAAATGTACACACTGGTGCTTTTGGTTGGACTTCTGAGTTAACTTCTGTTGGTTTACATTCAACCTCCAAGGCAGATGAAGAGGTAATTGACAAGTCATTGGTTCCAGATGGTGGTCTTTCCAGTGTATCTTCAATGACAGGTACAAAGAGTGGGAAAAAAGATGAAAGCACAGATCTGTCAATGCAGGATAGACGTTTCAAAGAAAACCTTTTAGTTTCAGAACCAGAAGTATGCCTTGTCTCATCAGAGAGAAATACAGACATAGACTTCAGCAGAAAAGAAACCAGTCCTGAGGTCCAGGTTAAAAAAGCATCACCAAACAGCAAAACCAATGAATCACCTCCACATACTGAGGATGGAGTTGAGAAAGTGCAAGAACATGAGACTGATCAAGAGCAAACTGAAGGCATGCTTCATATTCATGATGCAGCTGGAAAAGAGACAGATGATGCTGTAGAAATGTCTGATATAATGTCCAGAAACATTTTTTACTCAACAAAAAGTGCAGAAAAGGAAGAGGACACTGAAATGTTAAGGCGTTTGAATGATTCAGACTTTTCTGCCACACCAGAAAGAACCACAGAAGCATATTCATCACTGCATGATAATTTACCTACAAATGAGGAACAAGACAAGAGTACCCAGATATATAAAACTATAGAAACTCTCCATTCAGATGACATTGTGCTTAAAGAGCACCAGAGTCCAGAACAAATGCAAGAAATGCATCAAATTGAGTTCATGTCACGTACACAGAATAAGTCTTCTGTGCAAATATTGCAGCCAGATGCAAATGTTGCTTCACACTTCTATTCTCAGGGCAATTATCAAAGCAACAAAGATGAAACTCACTCAGGCCTCAAAACTGCAGGGAGCAGAAGGAAACTGGGGTCAAGCCGGAAGATTAAAGGAAGACAAAATGTCAAGTTTTCTGATGCCAAACAAGAACATAAAGAGGAAGATGTAGAAAATCCAGAGAATAATGAAGTATCACAAACGTTTGTAACAAAATCAATTCAGCAGGTAGAGTCAGAAGACTTCATATCTGTTGAGAAATTTGAAACAGTTAGTTCAGCTGAGGAAAAAAAGTCAGAAAAGCAGCTGGAAGAGAATGCATTTTTTTCACATGAAGATTTGGACAACAGAACAGTTTCAACATCAAATACTACTCAAAGCTTTGACAAAGATGACCATAATGAATCAAGAAAAGACACCAAAGAGAAACATGTACAACTTGTACAAGACCCATGTCATTTAAGTCAGTTTCCAGGATATGACACAAATAAAAAGGGCCTATTAGTGCAATCACCGGAAGTCTCTGTTTTGAAATATGCCTCAGATATGGAGAGTAGCCTATATCATGATGACATTATCATCCCTGAGCTGTGCAGTGTGAGTGTGCCTGGCCAAACTGATGACATTCAGCACCAAAATAGAGAAGCTGAGACACTGAAACTTGAAGTTCAGCTGCAACAGACTAACAAAGCGACCGCAACTGTGGATTGTGTTGCACCAGAAGACTGCAGCACAGAGGTGGCAAGCTCAAGGAATGTACAAGATCCTGAACCGGATGATGTGGGAGAAAAACACGTTCAAGAAATAAATGCTTCACCAGAGTCCATTTCTGCTTCAGAGGAGCCACCTGTGGACGAATCCTACAAAAGTGGAATATTCACAACAATGGATGTTGGTAACAGTCAACAAGAAAAAACTAGTTATATTTTTAGTGAAAATTGGGAAGTAAAATCTAAACAGAAGAAAAGAAAGTTAGGGTCTTCTCGCAGGACTCCAGTCAACAGAAAACAAAATGAAGAGGCTCACAACAAAGATGAAACAAACGCTGAAAGCAATACAGAAGATGGGATGAAGAGTCTAGACAAGCTGAAGGTTGTGGAGGAGCTTCCTTCAACTGCAGTAGAAAGTGAAAATGTTCAACTTTTGCATGGTGCTTTAGTGCATCAAGAAGCTGATGAAGCCAAAGCTACAGATTCTGTCGAGCACAGGCACATCCAAAAGACTGAAGAACAAAAACCAGGGAACACAAGCGAAGGGATTCACAGTCAAGCTGTAGAAGTAAAAAGTGCAAGCCCAGATTTCAGCTCAACCAGCAGAAGAAAAATGGGCTCCACCTGCATGAATCTTGGATCAAGAAGCAAAAGAGAAAACATGGATCAAGAGGCGGAGTTGGAGATTGACGCAACAAAGTCTGAAACTACCGGAGAATTAACAAGCGAGAGTGTCTCAGAAATCAAGGAAGAAAAACTGCAAGTTCAGCCACAATCCCGAAAGAGTGACTCTGATCAAAGAAAAGTGTTTCAAACAGTAGCAAGCAGTCAGGTTGGTGAGGCTTTACTAAAACCTCTGGTTGAAGAAACACCTGAAGAAAGTCCAGGTTCTCAGAGCCAGAATGACCATGTGTTGGAACCAGCACCAGGAGGGAGGAGAAAGAAATTTGGATCTAATCGGAAACCACGCTTACAACAAACAAATAAAGACCAAAATGAAAGTGAGGATGGACTGACAAATGCACAAAATGAAAATGATGCTGGAGAAACCACAGAAGAGGATGCAGCTGAACAGCAAACGGATAAATCACCTGACCTGGATAAAATAACAGAGGTAAGAATTAATCTCACTTTCTCTATCTTGTGGAGATCTTTTTATATTTGGCTCACATTTTGTTCATACGTGTATTTAACTTACTTAGCATACATTTCTTCTTGATTTAACCAAGAATTCCTCAATATTAGAAAGTTTATGTTTATGTTTCATTTTTGACAAGAAAAGATGTCTCTGACTTTATAGTATTTGTGACAACCTAAAGTTTCCTATCATACTTTTAGGCAGGACATACTGAACCAGGAGTTTCTTCAAAACTATATATAGTTTAAATAAGAAATAAATGCATATCAAGAAAAACATAAAATGAAAACAATAATTTTTATGTGAAAATAGCCTCATAAAATGCTATTTTACCTCATTTTACTTTGTAATTTTTTTTTTTATAAGAAGAAAACAAACTTTCAACTCAAGAGCAACTCCAAACTGTACAGAGGGATGTCCCTTTTTTGTTTTATAAAACTAATTGCATGAACATTTTGTGCTCTTTAACTGATGCAAAAGATTATTTGTGGACACAGTGAGCCACAGTCCGTCTACGTCAAGCGCTGCTTCTCTTTTATATAAAACATCTTGCTCATGAGTTGTATGATTGTACCAAGAAAATTCTGAGGCAATACACTGAAATGAGGAACATGTGGTCAACGCAACTTGTTTCACACAGCAGAAAGGAGAACATGTATCTGCTTTCCAAAGAAACATGCACATGCTTTAAATGAGATCAGGTATTAATGATCTTCAAAAAAATAAAACAAATATTTTGGTTATTAAACTATGCCATGAATGCAGAAAATCAAATGTGGTCAGATCAAGATTAAGTTTAGTAGCTAAATCCTATTTTTGCCTCTGCAGGTTGATGAAGATGGTGAAAAAGCATCAGCCATCAGCATCTCAGTAACTAAAGAGTTTGCAAAGCCACTGAGGTAAGATATGGACCGATTACTTACAGAAACAAAAACGCTGCATCATCCAAGGTTGTTGGATAAATAAAGAACAAGTACAGTTAGCACAATAAACCTATGTGAAAGTGAACTAGAAGGAAAGAAACAGTACAAATTCACCACTTTTCAGGACAATTAAACACCCATTAACACTCTGTTAACTGAAGTGGATGCTTTATTGTAAATATTTTGAACGCAGCAGTGATAATTACCTCTAAACTGAGTCACAACAGAAAGTATTTTATTTCTAGTATGTTATAGTTTATTTTACTTCCTGAATCCTCAGTGTTGGTTTGGTGTGGATCTTTACAACAAATAAAAATTTTAAATATTTTTCTTCAAATTTTAACCACGTGCCCAAAATAAGAACAAGTTTAACCTGAGCAGACTAGAATATGATGCAAAATATTTTGATGCATATAAACCAATGACCACACAGAAGAAGAAGAAGAAAGAAGAATACAGTATAAATGTTGTAATGCTCAATAATCCAGGTAGATAAATCTAACAGGGTTGAGTCAGATGCCCTGAACAGATTCTTCTTTGTCTGAATGGACTGAAAAAGTATTTTGGATAAAAGACAAAACGTCCAGAGGACCTGACTCAGCCTTGTTAGAATATAGTATTAAATTTAAATGAATGTTTACAAGAGAATAAAGAATTGCTTTTATTTTTGGCCTATTTTTCTCTCTGGGGCAGAGACTGTGTTTCCGAGCAGCGTTTGCACCTTTAACTGTGCAATGACTCAAAAATAACTTGAAGTGTGAGCAGTGCAGTGAGAAACAAAAAACGTTTCTATTCAGCTCTGAATACAAAACTGAAAAAAAAACACAGTTGAACACACTTTGCTGCTCAAGTTCTTTGTTCTCAAACACGTGACACACGTGGCATAGATTTTAAACAAATTTAAAAGTGAAGGAGTTTGTCCTTTTTATCTGTGTTGTTTAGAAAGATGAGGTCAGATTCTTTGTTCATCCATTTCATGCTCAAAGAGATTAATTTGTTGAATTATTTATTGAAATGTTTACAAGTAATGTTCTGCATTTAGTTTGTTTTTGAGCTCATACACGTTTTCAGGGACAACAAATAAAAAAACACCATGGTGCATCTATTTATTAATATGCTTCACCCATGCCAAATAAGCTAATACAATAAACAATAAACTTTCATAAGCAGTATGGTTTATCATGGGATAGGATTTGTTTTGGGAAAATATTTAGATACTTATGAGAGATTTATTTGGATTCATTTTTGGCAACAGAAAGGACTCAGGATTAGTGAACTAATGAAGTCTCTGGATGCCATTCTTGTCCTGCATGTGTCTCTTCTGTTCTGTAACATTTTAATATGTTCATCTGTTTTTTTTAATCCTGGTTTAGTTCTATTCTTTGACAGACAATGGAAGCGTCTTGAAATGGAAACATGAATTAATGTACAATCAACATTATTTTTATTTCTGTCTGTCAGATAACGTTTGTCACGCATGATCTGAAAAATGTTTTTGTTTCACAGTGAGGCAACTCCCAGAAAATTGTATCCTGATGAAAACCGCTGGGGTCAAGAGAGTGAAAGGCAGCTCTCTTTTGGTAAATAATATTTACACATTGATCAGCAAACTATTTTGGTTTTACACCCAGAAAAACAACAATTAGAAATGTATAATATGAACAGGAATGTGTTTTCTTTATCATGTCTGCAGGGACCGACAGATCCAACGGTTACAACGTGGTGCTGGTTGGAGAGAGTTGTGTGGGAAAGTCCTCCTTCCTGAAAAGAGCTCAAAGTGGGAAGTTTGCTTTAGACATACCTGCCTCCGTTGGTAAGATTGTGATCTTTTGGATCGTTCCTATCAGTGTGTCAGTATACTGAGTTACATCACCCTAATATGATTTGCAGGCCTGGACTCCTGCAAGTGGACTGTGGTGGTAGATGGAAAACCTGTGGTGCTACATTTATGGGATACAGCAGGTCAAGAAAGGTGAGCTTCACACTCGTTTCAGTTTTAAAAGGAAATGAATTAGGGTGAGAATTAGTTGTAATGGACTGAGGAACTGGGGCCTTGTATGCCTCTCCGTTATCATAAAGAAGGAGGTCAGGCAAAAGGTGAAGCTCTCGATTTAATGAACTGTTTAAATTCTAAACCCCACCCATGGTCCTGAGATGTGGGTCTTGGCCTAAAGAAGAGATATTTGATACAAGTGGCTAAAATGAGTTTCCACTGTAAACTGGTTCGGCCTTACAGAATATGGGGGAGCTCAGAGTAGAGCTTTTGCTCCTCCATATCGGTCTTTTGCACGTGACGTCACGCCTATGCTGGGCGCCATGTTGGGGGGATTACCGTCGTGAGCAGTACTGATAGCAGCGTAGCTTTTCCGAGTTAGCTTCAGTTCTTTTTCCACCTTAAGCCGAGTGTGCTTTTAAATTCAAAAATGGCTCGTTGGTGTTGCATAAAAGGCTGTTCGAGTAAAACAGGACACTTTGGCATAAAGTTTTTCAGGTTTCCCGTCTATAGAAAAGACCGTGGACAGCAAATGGAAGATCTAAGCAGGAGACGCAGGTTGGCCTGGGTTGCAGCTGTCAGGCGCAAGGAGATCACATTCAATCAGATATCAGCGAACATGCGTGTTTGTTCACTGCATTTTCATAAAGGTAAGCTGATTTTTTATTTAATGCTTTGTTTCTCTATTATTCTGTGATGCTACAGTTATCTATAAGTACTTTATTTATATCCTATTTATATACAAGACGTACTTAAATAAACGAATAATGAACTAGGTCTGAAAACAGAGCTAAGTCAGATTTAGACTAAAAATACTGTCTAAGTCTGAACTAAACCAGGGCTAAAATAGCAATAAGCCAGAACAACTAGCAGGATTTAAGATCTGTCTTGACATATCACAGCTGTCATCTGTCATTCATCTGTCATCTCTATGTGATTGCAGGTCAGCCAGCTTATGAGATGATGGAAAGTGATGCGGACTGGGCTCCATCTCTACGTCTGGGTCACACTGACGTTAAACCGACTGACGCAGCACGCTATGCAAGACGACGTAAACGAGACCAGCAACGTAACAGCACATCACAGGAAGCTGAGTTAGTGGCGCAGCAGGATGAAGACGTTTGTGGCCATCATGTCCTGGAGGAGGCTGATCTGTTTGCTGAGGTGCAGCTGGAATGCGTTTCAGATCCGACTGATGAATCTGAACAGATTGCTGAACAGGGGACTGTCATCCCTGAATGTGAAGCATGTGCCCTTAAGTCGGCAGAAATAAATAGACTCAGAGAAGAAAATGGAGAACTGAGGCAGCAGGTGAACAGAGTTAAGTTCAGTGATGGCTTTTTTTCCGAAGATGACAATGATAAAGTAAGACATTATACAGGACTGCCTAATCTTCAAACCTTCATGCAAATACTGTCACTGCTGGTTTCTGTCACAAACCCCAAAAAGACACTTCTCACACCATATCAAATGCTGCTTCTGACATGTATGCGGCTAAGACTCGATGTACCTGTTTATCTCCTTGCTGATCTGTTTTTTGTTTCACCTAGTACTGTCTACAGGGCTTTCAGCGATACTGTGTCACAATTATATACAATCCTGCAACCTTCTATTGTGTGGCCAGACAGAGACACATTGCGTAAAGTTATGCCACACGAGTTTGTGCATTCATTTGGAAATAAGGTTGCTGTGATTATTGATTGCTTTGAAATTTTTACAGAGAGACCATCTAATGTCAAAGCCCGGGCCCAGATGTTTTCAAGTTATAAGCACAACCACACCATGAAGTACCTGATAGGAATTACACCCAGAGGAGCCATCTGTTTTTTGTCCAAAGGATGGGGGGGGGCGTACAAGTGACAAGCATATCACACTTAATAGTGGATTTCTTGATAAATTGTTGCCAGGGGACATTGTTTTGGCTGACAGAGGTTTTGATATTCAAGAACATGTTGGGATGTTGTGTGCTGAGGTGAAACTCCCTGCTTTTACAAAAGGCATGTGTCAGCTAGATGCAAAAAACGTGGAGGAAACTAGAAAAATAGCACATCTGAGAATCCATGTTGAAAGGGTGATTGGAAATGTATGTCAAAAGTATAAGATCTTGTCAGGTACAATGCCAATCTCTCTGATACTGCCATGTGAGTGTGAGGATGTAACGCTTTTAGATAAAGTGGTTACAGTGTGTTGTGCATTTACAAATCTTTGCCCAACTGTAATTAAATAATGTGACAGTTACTGTAAATGATTTATGACACAATGAAATGAAATAAACATACAAAATGTTCAACTGTTGTCATAAGATTTACATCCACATATTGAATTTTGGTGGTTCTTAATTGTTACCTGTCGTGATGCAGAACAAAGGTTAAAAAAATGTAACATATCAAATATATCTTGCATAAAAATAAAATTACAAAAGCTTCTCATTTGTTCAAGCCATCTTTATTAAGCAAAGTATGTGCCTCACATCTTACTGGTGCATGAAGAACAAAACCATGTCTCTTCCTGTGCAGGTGCAAGCTGCAGACCCACACAACTGAAAGTCATGTGTGCATGACTCTCCTAAGCCCGCTATACAGGTGCAATGAGCACACAATATAGCCCCAGAAGAATTTAGGATTGCCCAAGGCTTGAGTGGTGCTTCTCGCAAGCGTTGGGAGTGCATCACCTAAAAAAACACACAAAATAGAGTAAAAATTACTTGTAATACAGACTTCAGAGTAAAATGTTCTAACATCATATACAATATATTAAGATTAATGTGTTGCTTTGAGATGTAAATTCATGTTCTGACTGAGATACACAACCTCCACTTATTCTAACCTCACATATTTGTGAAAATGTATGTGTATTT